TTTTCAGACCTCTGACACAGTCCCATTGTCTTCGTTCTTATTTCTTTGGCATTCCTAAATCCTCCTGTGTTGTCACTTAACATGCACGTGTGATGGCTTAAATGTAGATCTTTAGCCCAGATGACTTTTCCGAGATCCAAGCCTATATATACCTCTGTCTACTTAACGTCTTTTCCTGAGTATCTTGGTGGCATATCAGCGTGAACTCTTTAGAACTTTTCCCCAAGTCTGGTCTTTTCCAGTGTCTCCTGTTTCAGTAAGTGCTGACCATGTCTTCAGCTGTTCAATCTGGAATTCTGAGTGTCATTCTTGACGGCTTCCTCGAAGTCAGTACGTTAATCTCAAAACTTTATCAGTGGTTCCTCATATGTATAATTGGAACTAATCTGGTTTTCTTCATTTTCATTTCACCATCCTAGTATAAACCACCATCGTCTCTCACCTTGGCTGGTTTCCTTGCCTCCAGTTTTGCACATTTCTTACCTGGTAACCACATAGAGATGTTTCTAAAACACAGATATAGTCATTTTCCCCCACTTCTCACAGCCCCTACAGGGCTTCTCACTGCCCTTCTGGTAGCTCAGCCTGCATGACTCTGCCTGCCTGGCTTCTGTTTCTTTTCATTTTTCTAGTCCTGCCTCATCTACAGAATCAGACACATGATTACGTGGATTTCACTGCTAAACTATATTTGTTCAATAAAAAAAAAAATCCCTATTTCTTTTTTAAAAATCCCTATTTCTTAAATTGGTTTACTTAATCTATCTTCAGAAAATATTATTAGTATCTTCTCCCTTAAAACTATTTCCAGGAGTTTTAAGATAATAAAATAGAAAATCAGGAACGGTAAGCAAATGCGATAGCTGTGATTGACAGCTGCTCTCTGGAGCATCTATATTCAATTACTGTGGGAAATAACACTGGAGGTATAAATATCTGGGAGGAAATTTCCTATTCATAAAGTAGAATAGAAAACAAATATTAATGAAATAGATCTGATTTTCCTATAAAAATTTCTTGTCCTAAAATTTATCTACAAGTCTTTCATATATATCAGTACAGGAAAGATCTACTCTTTCAAAAGCAGGCATTTTCAGAAATACATGTAAATTATTTTTACATTTAAATGCTGGCATTATTTTTATTTAATTTCACACATTAATGTACACAGTAATTTATTAAGTTTTCTGAAACATTTAAATACATCGAGTATTTAAAGCTGAGTGGAGCTGGGAAGTTCACACTTTATATACCAAGATATATCAGTATTTTAGCTGTTGACTAGCAAAATTAAGCATTAATACTCCTAGAATTTACCTCCACTGACTGAAATAAAAACACACAATATAAGATCTATGAGTTGGAGTTCATTCAGTGTCTTATTGAAGACTATAGCCCGGGAGACAGCCTCTCAGATAGCTGTGAGAAAGAGTTCCAAAAAGGCAAGGGAGGAACCTGGATATATCTAATTTTTTTTTTTTCTGGAAAAGAATGTTTAGTCGACCATCAAAAGATTACTGCTAATCACAAAGAATAGACTCTCAGTTTAATGACTTTAGGGCTTTCCTATGTATGAGGAGAAGATGTAAGAATCTGTGGTCATTGAAATTTTTCCTTTCCAAATTCCTAGATACTATAAGGAGTGATTCACACTAGCTTAGATAAGCGTCCTACAGAGGAGTCATTTAGTACCTATTTTCTTGTTAGCATCTGTCTGCGGTCTAACTAGCAGGCAAAAAAGCCTAAGTGAATTTTAAGATGTAGAAACATATTATAACATTTATGCTTAAGTTTATAATTACTTTAGCTTGTAATTAATTGTTCAGTCCGTTTTCTTAAATTAAAACTTCATGGAGCAGCACATATTGATTGAGTGCATACTGTGTGCTCGGCTCCATTCTTGGCGTCTGAGTTTCCAGCTGTGACTACAGCATAGTCATTGCCTTGGCCTAATGGAGTGTAATCCGTGTGTGTGTGTGTGCGTGCACGTGCGTGAGTGAGGCTGCGGTTGGGAGGAGAAACATAGACAGTATATAAAGACAGGTAAATGTATACTCTCTCTCTCTTTAATAATATTTCCAGCGAGGTATGATGAAATGCCGAAAGCAAAAGAGTAAATAAGAATATAAACCTAATAACTACTTGTTTTTCTTTCTATTATGACAATACAGCAGTGGAATTTGGTAAGAACTGGCTAATTTTATAGATATAAGTATTGTATAAAGAAATAGAGGATCAATTTCAGGTATGGCAAAAACATTTTTTTACTCAATATCTCTAGTCAGAATATAAACAAGCAGTTTTAGAAATATGTGTTTTACTTCAAAGTTCATATTGCCTCTATAGTGGAGGGTGTTTCATTTCCAAGAGTTTCAGAAACCAGGTAATAAAATGCTTTTAAAAAACAATCGAATGCTAGTGACTAATTGCCTAGTACCCCACCATTTTGAATTATTTTATGTTTAAAGTTGAATTAGTTAACTCAGTAAATATTTGCTGCATCTGCTGTGGGCCAGGTATCATTTTAGGCCCTGGGGAAACAGCAGGGAACCAAACAGGAACAGTCCCCAAGCTCAGAGAAATTAGAGTCTATGATGGGTATAGTTTTGAAGGGGAAGGAAAGCCCTTTGTGGTCAGAGTACCAAGTAAGTATCACTTCCATGAAAACAATCACGTTCAGTCATCAGCTTACATTTTACAATAATAACAACCATGATATTAATTTTTCCTCATGTTTTCAGAACTCTACCTTAGAGAATGCTTTGGGCACGTGATCTTTATTTAAACAGAACTTAAAACTACGTCATTATAATCTTTTCACCGAAATAATATTTTATAAAAACAGGTGATGATGAGATTACCTCTGTTATTTGTAAATGAGGAGATCTTTAGTCATGGACTGTCATTACCCAGTGTGTGGCCCTGGAGAGTTTTCATTTAAGGAAATGGTTTCTCAGAGACCGTCTTTGTGGACAGCAGATTGGGGGGATCAGACCTGCCTCATGTGTCGGGGGGAGCATTCACTCCTCCTGAGAGACGGAGCCATTCAGGGGAGCACAGGAGAGGAGTGGAGATCTGTGGGGTCCCCTCCTGCTGCTTCCTCTCTCCTCTCTCCACCCACCCCTCCCTCTCAGCTCCCTCCCTCTGTCTGTGGAATGTGATCCTGGAGGGCTGCCTTAGGGAATTGTTTCATTGTAACTTGAATTCACAGTATAGCGGCTTTGTTTGACCACTCAGGTTCTTAATTCCTCAGAAATATTCAGAAAATATGTGGTTCTTCTTCTGTATTCTTCCCTCGAGAATCCTATTTGGGAAAAGCTCAAGTAGGATGGTTTTGCCTTGGGGGCACCATTGAAGCGGGCATGTCCACTTAGAAATTATGTTTATGAACATGAAAGCATCGTCAACTATTGCACCCTAGGGCGCCGCCTTAGGAAAATCCGCAGGGGAACATTTCCTTTATTCTCAGTGTAGGACAAGTTGTTCTTTTCTTGAGCTTCTGTCATACCGTCTCGTAGACTTCTGAATTTTATTATTGATTTTGTTTCTTTTTTTGTTATGACCAAGGTGACGCTTGGGGACACATGTGGTCCAACATTGCCAATTATATGGGAACATTTTTTATATGATTTTAGATGACCCCAGTTTCATTTTACTATTTTTTTCTTGTACTGCCATTTCCCTAATCTTCTTTTCCCTTACTTTCTGCCATTTTATTTATACCCCAGATTTCCCAGCCCCTAGCCTCAGGGTCCACTGTTTACTCCACTATATGCATAACATGATGGTGGGAGCTCCAGTGACCTTAGCGTGTGAATTCACCAGAAAGCAGTGCTCAGCCATCCGCACCCCTTTTGCCCATGCATTTCTTTGGCCTCTGTCTTCTCTCTGCCCCTTTATCCAACTCTTGAGAACCGTGGCTCTCCTGCCACTCCCCAGGTGATGTTTGAAGGATAGTGGAGGAGAATTGGTGTATTGAACAGAAACCGCTTCAATCTGAACATTACGGATGGTTATCACAACATTCCTGGACCATTTCCTAGGAGAAGTTGCGTCTCAGTAATTTCTCTCCCTCTCCTTAAGCTCTGTCTTACTGCCATGTTGGGGAGAGGGTGGCTTCCTCTCCATATTCTTTGCTAAACTCTCCACATACAAACTCCATCCTCTCTGGGAACTGGAGGGGAGCAAAATTTGCTGCCCCAAAATGTGTCTCTTTGACATGAGGATTAATTTAGGCTGATTATTTTTAGCGATTATTTTTAAGAAGACTCGGGAAGTTTTTCTTGTTACCTCTCCCCTTAAGTACCTAAAAGAATTTGGATAGAGGACTTGTTCCTAGAACAGAGCCATCCTGAGAGATGTCTGCAAAGAATATGGGCTGAGGGTAGTGGGGGAGACTCTGGTAGGGCTTAGCGACCAGAGTCCACTCTGTGTCCCACTGTCTCTGGTGGCCCAGCAGACATTTGTTTTGCCCACTTTGGGGGGTTACTCAGTCTTCCTGGGACTCTCCCATGTATGCATATTATTAAACTTCTGTGTGATTTTCTCCTGTTGATCTGTCTCATGTCAGTTGAATTCTTAGACCAGCCAGAAGAACCAAGAAGGGTAGAGGAAAATCTTTTCCTCCCCGACAGAATCAAAGGAAAACCAAAAATTTCCCTTGGTGTGTTATTCAGAGACAGTTTGTCCATGTTTTTGGCCTCAAACTGTCCCATCCAGACCAGACTATATTTTGAAAATTGCTGAAATACAGAAGAAATCAAAACCCCAGACATTACATATGAAGTGTTTGCTTTCAAGTTCCTGTATCTGACAATTGCCTGGGTGAGTATGTAAATATGGCTGAGAAACCAGTGGAGGATTGTGATTTCTCTTCTTTTCCCCTTTTTTTAAAAGATGAAATTCTCCTCTAGGTTTCGGACTTAGTTTAGCAGCTAAGTGGAGGTGAAGAACTGCTTTTCTCAGTTTTTTTTTCTTATAAATGATTCTCTTCGTTGTAGGAGCTTACACATTTGTTCCATGGCTTCTCAGCTTTAAAAGAGGAAGAGCGCTAGAAGAAAAAGAGAATAAAATATTGGTCAAAGAAACGGGTTACTTCTTTATATACGGTCAGGTAGGTTCCACCCTAATACCGCTGTCACTGTCCAGTGCCTCCCATTTTGTGCTGACTTCTGACAAAGTTCTTTGGTTTGTTTCTCAGGTTTTATACACCGATAACACCTTTGCCATGGGACACCTAATACAGAGGAAAAAAGTCCATGTCTTTGGGGACGAATTGAGTCTGGTGACTTTGTTCCGATGTATTCAAAATATGCCTGAAACACTACCCAATAATTCCTGTTATTCTGCTGGTAAATAATAGTTCTATATACATAGACAGAAAGACATTCCTCAATATACTGTGTGGTACTTATTATCTTCAATGATAAGCTAGTCTGTGTTGATAGAGGCAAAATCATTATTAATAGGTTTATCATTTTTATATACATTTAGAAAGGGCAGTAACTTCACAGCAGTCCACACTGGAACAATCGTAAACTGTGTTTTCTTCAACCTGTAATAACAATGCTGGAATAATACGAGAATGATAAGCGCGTGCCAGGCACTTTACCTGTGCCCCTTCCTTTAATCCTCCCTGTGGAAGGGAGGTGGGGTCTGAGGCACAGAGAGGAATCACACATTGTCTTAGGCTGCACAGAACTTAGTTTAAACCAGCCAGTCTGACCCCAGTGGGACTCACAGAATCTCTTCTTCACCTCCTGCGGAAGAAGTACCTTTGGCTGGTTTGAGGGTCAGGTCCAGTGGCCCAGTGGCTTTGCTGGTGTCAGTGGACACCAGGTGGATGCGTTTGGGATGTGAAAGTGTAGGAGTGAGGCTGCATTTCAACTCAGAAAAGGGAAAGGGCAGGCTCGCTTCATTGCAGGTCTGTTTGGGCTGTAATTGCCATCGTAGCCTTCATCTTGTCTTGGGGTAATTTCAAATTAATCGAGGCCAGTATTTGAAAAAAAAAAAAAATTGCCTTTGACACGTTTATTTCTCTCTGGTGACTTTGACAAATCCATTCAGGACCCCGAGGAATGTCTTCCCTTCCAGACAGTTAGCGTGAATGGCAGTGTGGAACACGGGGTGCAGCTGGGCTGTGCGATTTGAAGCGCTATATTCCAAAGGCGTTTACTGACAAAGGCACGATGAAACAAGTGAGAAGGCAAAATAGTTCCCAGTAATGGAGACAATTGTCATCCTGGATCCACAGCCACAAATAGCTTTGACAGGGTGATGAGGAAGTGTACGAAATTGGAATTCCCTAATTTTCGTAGAGAATTGCTTCCCTGCAGCCAGTGGTAACCAGTATCTTGGTGTTGCAAAATATTTATAAATGGTGAGGTCACTTCAGTCTGTTATATGTATTTACATTAATTAGTACTTAGAGCTTTACAACACACTCTTTTTCAAATTTTCTAATCATCAGCCCCTCATGGTTACTTTCTCAGCCAGATTTCCTAGGTGCCTTACTTTTTAAGAGTAATTAACTTGACCTTAAAGATATTTCTCAGTGCTAGTAGCTTAGTATTATTTACGAAAAGTGTTTTCTAGGAAATTTCAGGTTTTCAATCTTTATCTGTTCTAGAACGAATTTGTTTAAAACCATTAAAAGCTACACATTGGTGTATACGTGTATAAAGTGCTTCCATAATAATCTGGAAAAAATTAAAATGGTCCATTTGAGGAGCCCAACGAAGCTGAATCTTATTATTTCATTAACAAATTGAATGTGTTTATTGTAGAAAAAGTTAGAGCTGATTGCTATAATCTGGAAGACTTGAACTAGCCAATAACCCAGTGTTGAAATTTTAAATAGAACCTACTTTGAAACGTAGTTGGTTCACACAGACTTTATTTGGAGAGTTCCTGTTAATTAATGATCTGTGATCTATAGCCTTTGTCAAATTATTAGATTATCTTTAATCTCTATGATAATGACTAATCCATTCAACAAGTAACTTCAATCTTTTTTTTTTTCTACTACTTAATGTAGTCATCAAATGCCTTGCCAATCCTAAAAGTGTACACTTTACCCTTAACAATACCTAGAACTATGTTCTTTTGTTTGTTGTCTGTCTTGGTCTATTAACAAAAAACAAGGTCCTTGTAGACAGACTCTTTGGTTATTCTGATCACCGCCCTATGAGGGCCTACGAAGGTGTCTGGTATATCTGAGGTGCTCCGTAAATAAATACCCGCTGGCTAGTGCTGCAGGACACCCAGGTGCTTTGGCTTGACAGTGGACTAGTGGTTAACGTAGATGTGTTCCTGTAAATACATTTTCATGGCATGTTAATGAAACAATGCAACTACTTTTAAAATTGTGAGTTGAATGTATTGACAATTTAGATGCTATTTCCTTTGTTATTTCGTTGGTTTTATTCTCTGCCCCTCCTCCTCTTTCTTTTTCTTTATCTTTTTCTTTTAAAATGATGTCAAGAATGACCTGATAGTATACTGAGTGTAGTTCCTGAGTTGTGTTTTGTATTCCTGAATCACAGGCTGCATTATTGTAAATTAGGCGCATGAATGAAGATTAGTTGATCAGTTTTGAGAAGCTAATTACCTTGTTGCTTTTGATTATAAAAACAAGTATGGAAACACAAATTATAGAGGGCTATAAAAGTAATCCAAATGACTTCTCATCCCGTAGTTTGTACTCTAGAGAAAGACTATGTTAGCAGATGTGCTTTGTGAATAAGTAGTGTTTTGTTTTTCACTTTTAAATAATTTATGCATTTTATATGCACATTTGAAAGTATATTTAGGACTATGCAGTATATATACGTGGGTGTGCTCATTTTTTTGTATTTTTATTTAACATTATTTTTTAAAGATTCCCATGTCAATAAAATGAAGCAAAACCAATTTTTTTTTTTTTTTTTTTTTTTTTTTTTTTTTGCGGAACGCGGGCCTCTCACTGTTGCGGCCTCTCCTGTTGTGGAGCACAGGCTCCGGACGGGCAGGCTCAGCCGCTCCGCGGCATGTGGGATCTTCCCGGACCGGGGCACGAACCCGTGTCCCCTGCATCGGCAGGCGGACTCTCAACCACTGAGCCACCAGGGAAGCCCAAAACTACTTTTAACTATATAATATTCCATCAAGGGACGTGCTATGAATTCCTAAACTTTTTCTTATAGTTAGATGTCTGAGTCCTGTTTAGATTCTCCATTTTACAAACAGTAGGTGATACATCCATTTATGTCTGTTATAACTCCTTCTGCTTATTTCTTTTACTTTTTTTTGGGGGGGGGTGGTGTTCAGGCAAATCATAACGGGTTTAGAAGTCCACTGGTGTAATTTGAAGGGTGAATGCCTACTATTTTTTTCCAAAACAAAGTAGTTGTCTTTGATGTTCTCCCCTCCCCCTCCTTTCCGTGTACAACTGCTTAAAGTTCTTGCAAATCATTCTTTTCCAGGCATAGCAAAGCTGGAGGAAGGAGATGAACTCCAACTGGCAATACCACGCGAAGATGCTAAAATATCTCGGGATGGAGACGGCACGTTTTTCGGTGCACTGAAACTTCTGTGACCTACTTACACACCTTGGTGTGGCTGTTTTCCTCCCTTTCTTTGTACCTCTAAAGAGAAAACACTTAACTGGAAATACCAAAAGGAAAAAAAAAAAAAAAAGGTAGTTACCATAGCCTGGTTTGCTGAAACTAGACCAAAACAGGAAATTTAACAGACAACCACAGCCAAAGGGTGTCATGTGAATTAAAGAACTAGAGCCCGTTTAAGGAAAAATAGAACTAGAAAGACTTTTCACTATAATGCCATGTTGAACACCTTAGTCATGGTTTCTTACCTTGCAAGAAGCACAGGATTCAAAGGGGCAGTAACATTTCTTCAAAAATGGTATCCCACTGTTTGCTATGGGACAGCGCCCATGGCTGTAGGACATTAAGACATTTGGGGGAGATCTGAGGATTTATCCTCTATTTTTATGTTAAATACCCTCTCTCCATTTTCAGTTAATATTGAGGAAACTAAAAAAAAGAAAAAAAAAAGTATAGAAATCTTGCATTCCATACATGAAAAAGTAACTAAAAGTTTAAATATCATTAAACAATCGGACTCAAAATAGGATATAGGTACTATTTAAGTCTTTTAGGTTTATTTCAAGTTTGCAGTTTTTAGCTCTAATATCATATATTACCTGCTGGAACACTCCTGGACATCTTTCACAGGAGGAAAATAATTCTCTCATGTGTTTACACTTAGGTGTATTTTTTATAGCTAATTTCAGTTACTTCAGAAACTTTTAATGTAGGGTAATTCCAATTCATGCATATAAGCATTAATTGAAAGAAATAACTATAAGTGTTTTAACCTAAAAATAAAATCTGCCATAGAAGTTAATAAGTACATTTGTAATAATGTAATATCATTTCCTTTTATTTCCTATCCTTCTATTTTAAACTGCTGGTATTGTAGTTCACATATCCCAGCCTTTAAAAAATACTCATGTTATTAGCTTTACAGAAGTTGAGGTTTAATTAAAGTTCTTGGCATCCTGAGTATGTTATATCCCATGTGCTTGTTCCAAAGATTATCACATGCCAGAAGACACTGTCCTAATTTTCATTTTATAAAGACTCATTTTTGAGAATGCTGTAATACTTATCTTTTATAACGTCATGTGTTTTGCTTATATTTTTAAATGTCATCAGTTTAAACAGTTTACTTCATTGTTTAAACAGATGGAAAAATAGACCCTGGTCTACACTAGTTTTCCCCAGTTTACATTAAAATATTTTTAAAGGTATTTTTTTCAAAACAAAATTATTTGTATTTTGTGCCTAAAATTAAACTTTGTTTAAAACTGATTTCTATAGTTTGGGCTTTTTGGTTAAAATAAAATACACTTTGCAGTTTATTCTGTTCTTCAATATTGTAATAAAAAAGGAAGTGATAGGTGAGGTAGAAGTTTTGATAATAGAAGGAAGTCAGAGATTTTCTTAGTGTTGCTGCTAAGTGAATTGCCAAATAAAAAAATGTTAGTGCCTTTTGCCTCAGTTTTGGATTGTTTGTATAACACTAGTCATCTTTTGGTTTCTCTCCATAACACTGAATGTTGTCTTAAAACTTAGGTGCATGCAGGGAACTATAGTCAATATCCTGTGATTAAACCATAATGGAAAAGAATATGGAAAAGAGTGTATATATATGTGTAACTGAATCACTTTGCTGTACAGAAATGAACACAATATTGTAAATCAACTATACTTCAATTAAAAAAAAGACTAAGTAAAATGATAAAAAAAATTAGGTGCATAAATTGTTGCACATGATAAAGTAGTATGTGTTAGGGTATGATATAAAGTATTTGAAGTCATAAATATTTTACATGTTTCAAAAAGGATTTGGTCACCTCGATACTATATATATAAAGTTATGGATTAAATATTTCTTAGAGCCTAGGTTAAAAAAAGATAAAACTACATTGTAATAGGCTTGTGCCCTAATCTCTTGTGAATCTACAGCTTGCAACATTTTTCTTTCTAAATGGCTCAGCATATTTTGTCAGCAGGTGTAGAATTCAGCCACATAATATGGTCTTAAATCTTATTTTGCTTTCTGTTCAAACCAGCCTTAAAATGTGAATCTTATCTTCCTCGTCAGTGAAATTGTGAGGAAAATCAGACTTCGGGTGAGTCAAAGTTTATGCAGTTATCAGGAAGTTGAATTAAGTCAGAAAGAGAAAGACAAATACCATATGATATTACTTGTATGTGTAATCTAAAATATGACACAGATGAACCTATCTATGAAACAGAAGCAGAATCAGGGACATAGAAAATAGACTGGTGGTTGCCAAGGAGGAGGGGTGTGGGAGAGGGATGGATTGGGAGTTTGGGAATAGCAGATGCAAACTGGTATATATATAAAATGGATAAACAACAAGGTCCTACTGTAGAGCACAGGGAACTATATTCAATAACCTGGGATAAACCATAATAGAAAAGACTATGAAAAAGAATGTAGATATATGTATAACTGAGTCACTTTACTGTACAGCAGTGATTAACATGGTGTTGTAATTCAACTATACTTCAATAAAAAATAAATTAAAAAAAAAGATTAGGTAAATATAGAGGTGTGGGGGGATGTGACTGCAACAGTGAGTGAGATTGCCCAAGTTCAGCCTTTGCTATCTTTCCTCCAATTTATTTTAGCAGAAAATGGATGTTATCCTGGGATTTCCTACGAAAGAAAATTTCTAAGGTTTAAGTGTATGGGCCCAGGCCAGATACTCTTCTGTGTTAAATCCGAAGTCAAGATTCGTGATGCTACCTAATCACCCAGTGAGGGCCCTCAGTGCATTAGCAGAACATCCTGAGGAAGTAATATGCTGGCCTCACTGGCGCCTGGAGAAACGCCTCCACTGTCTGGTCACCGTGCAGAGAAGCTCTTCCCATGCACTCTGTTATGGGTACAATGACCTACTGATGGAAGGGCTTAATAAATCTTATTGTCATTCGAAGTCCAAACCAGAAAATATTACTCTGAAGATGTCCCTGCCCTAGGAGACCCGTGCAGCCCCCTGACGTGTTTGGTTTGGCTCCCATGTTGCTTCGCAATTTTTGAGTTCGTTTCTTTTTTCTTTTTTTGTATTGGAGTATAATTGCTTTACAATGGTGTGTTAGTTTCTGCTTTATAACAAAGTGAATCAGCTATACATACACATATATCCCCATATCTCTTCCCTCTTGCGACTCCCTTCCACCCTCCCTATCCCACGCCTCTAGGTGGACACAAAGCACCGAGCTGATCTCCCTGTGCTATGCAGCTGCTTCCCACTAGCTATCTACCTTACGTTTGGTAGTGTATATACGTCCATGCCTCTCTCTCGCTTTGTCACAGCTTACCCTTCCCCCTCCCCATATGCTCAAGTCCATTCTCTAGTAGGTCTGTGTCTTTATTCCTGTCTAACCCCTAGGTTCTTAATGACATTTTTTTCCTTAAATTCCATATATATGTGTTAGCATACAGTATTTGTCTTTCTTGTTCTGACTTACTTCACTCTGTATGACAGACTCTAGGTCTATCCACCTCATTACAAATAGCTCAATTTCGTTTCTTTTTATGGCTGAGTAATATTCCATTGTGTATATGTGCCACATCTTCTTTATCCATTCATCCGATGATGGACACTTTAGGTTGTTTCCATCTCCAGGCTATTGTAAATAGAGCTGCAATGAACATTTTGGTACATGACTCCTTTTGAATTATGGTTTTCTCAGGGTATATGCCCAGTAGTGGGATTGCTGGGTCGTATGGTAGTTCTATTTGTAGTTTTTTAAGGAACCTCCATACTGTTCTCCACAGTGGCTGTATCAATTTACATTCCCACCAACAGTGCAAGAGGGTTCCCTTTTCTCCACACCCTCTCCAGCATTTATTGTTTGTAGATTTTTTGATGATGGCCATTCTGACTGGTGTGAGATGATATCTCATTGTAGTTTTGACTTGCATTTCTCTAATGATTAATGATGTTGAGCATTCTTTCATGTGTTTGTTGGCAGTCTGTGTATCTTCTTTGGAGAAATGTCTATTTAGGTCTTCTGCCCATTTTTGGATTGGGTTGTTTGTTTTTTGTTATTGAGCTGCATGAGCTGCTTATAAATTTTGGAGATTAATCCTTTGTCAGTTGCTTCATTTGCAAATATTTTCTCCCATTCTGAGGGTTGTCTTTGGTCTTGTTTATGGTTTCCTTTGCTGTGCAAAAGCTTTGAAGTTCCATTAGGTCCCATTTGTTTATTTTTATTTCCATTTCTTGAGGAGGTGGGTCAAAAAGGATCTTGCTATGATTTATGTCAGAGTGTTCTGCCTATGTTTTCCTCTAAGAGTTTGATAGTTTCTGGCATTACATTTAGGTCTTTAATCCATTTTGAGCTTATTTTTGTGTATGGTCTTAGGGAGTGATCTAATCTAATACTTGTACATGTACCTGTCCAGTTTTCCCAGCACCACTTATTGAAGAGGCTGTCCTTTCTCCACTGTACATTCCTGCCTCCTTTATCAAAGATAAGGTGACCATATGTGTGTGGGTTTATCTCTGGGCTTTCTATCCTCTTCCATTGATCTTTCTATTTTTGTGCCAGTACTATACTGTCTTGATAACTGTAGCTTTGTAGTATAGTCTGAAGTCAGGGAGTCTGATTCCTCAAGCTCCGTTTTTCGTTCTCAAGATTACTTTGGCTATTCGGGGTCTTCTGTGTTTCCATACAAATTGTGACATTTTTTGTTCTAGTTCTGTGAAAAATGCCAGTGGTAGCTTGATAGGGATTGCATTGAATCTGTAGATTGCTTTGGGTAGTACAGTCATTTTCACAGTGTTGATTCTTCCAATCCAAGAACATGGTATATCTCTCCATCTATTTGTATCATCTTTAATTTCTTTCATCAGTGTCTTATAATTTTCTGCATACAGGTCTTTTGTCTCCTTAGGTAGGTTTATTCCTGGATATTTTATTCTTTTTGTTGCAATGGTAAATGGGAGTGTTTTCTTGATTTCACTTTCAGATTTTTCATCATTAGTGTATAGGAATGCAAGAGATTTCTGTGCATTAATTTTGTATCCTGCTACTTTACCAGATTCATTGATTAGCTCTAGTAGTTTTCTGGTAGCATCTTTAGGATTCTTTATGTATAGTATCATGTCATCTGCAAACAGTGACAGCTTTACTTCTTCTTTTCTGATTTGGATTCCTTTTATTTCCTTTTCTTCTCTGATTGCTGTGGCTAAAACTTCCAAAACGATGTTGAATGAGTGGTGAGAGTGGGCAACCTTTTCTTGTTTGTGATCTTAGTGGAAATGCTTTCAGTTTTTCACCACTGAGGACGATGTTGGCTGTGGGTTTGTCATATATGGCCTTTATTATGTTGAGGAACGTTCCCTCTATGCCTACTTTCTGCAGGGTTTTTATCATAAATGGGTGTTGAATTTTGTCAAAAGCTTTCTCTGCATTTATTGAGATGATCATATGATTTTTCTCCTTCAATTTGTTAATATGGTGTATCACGTTGATTGATTTGCATATATTGAAGAATCCTTGCATTCCTGGAATAAACCCCACTGGATCATGGTGTATGATCCATTTAATGTGCTGTTGGATTCTGTTTGCTAGTATTTTGTTGAGGATTTTTGCATCTATGTTCATCAGTGATATTGGCCTGTAATTTTATTTCTTTGTGACATCCTTGTCTGGTTTTGGTATCAGGGTGATGGTGGCCTCGTAGAATGAGTTTGGGAGTGTTCCTCCCTCTGCTATATTTTGGAAGAGTTTGAGAAGGATAGATGTTAGCTCTTCTCTAAATGTTTGATAGAATTTGCCTGTGAAGCCATCTGGTCCTGGGCTTTTGTTTGTTGGAAGATTTTAAATCACAGTTTCAATTTCAGTGCTTGTGACTGGTCTGTTCATATTTTCTATTTCTTCCTGATTCAGTCTTGGCAGGTTGTGCATTTCTAAGAATTTGTCCATTTCTTCCAGGTTGTACATTTTATTGGCATAGAGTTGCTTGTAGTAATCGCTTATGATCTTTTGTATTTCTGCAGTGTCAGAAGTTGTTACTTCTCCTTTTTCATTTCTAATTCTATTGATTTGAGTCTTCTCCCTTTTTTTCTTGATGAGTCTGGCTAATGGTTTATCAACTTTGTTTATTTTCTCAACCAGCTTTTAGTTTTATTGATGTTTTGCTATCGTTTCCTTCATTTCTTTTTCATTTATTTCTGATCTGATTTTTATGATTTCTTTCCTTCTGCTAACTTTGGGGTTTTT